GGGAGAGGGAGTTGTGATTAACAGTAGGAAATTCTGTCTGGGAACGGGGAAACACCCCATATCAACAGGGTGCCTGAATGAAACGCAATTGTATACCTAACCCTTTAACTGTACCCCACAACTTCATATTAAAAAAAAATTCAACTCCAAATATTTATTTGTTTCTTAATATCTGAAGTTGAAACCTAGGCATAAATATTTTAAGAACCCTTCAAGAAATTAAAGTTTGTGTTGATAGCCACTGCTCAAGAACACAAACAAGAAAATGAATGATGCTTTCCTAAGAAGAAGAATGAATCTGTGAAAGGCATTCAGACTATATCGGATTTTCCAGAAATATTCTGTTCCTATTGCTAATATTGAAGACACAATATGTTTCTGTAAAAATAAAAAATAATCAACAGAACCATCCCATGGGTTTTCTGATACTTCCATTTCATTGCTTTTGTGCTTCTTTTCTTTAACCTATAAGGTTGATACTGAGAATAATTGTTACTTTGCACAATAAGAATGACTTTTCACTGATTTTATCACTGACTCAGTTTAATTGTCATGTTTTTCATCATTGAAATGTTTTGTGCTTACTTTAATTTTGTCATTAACATATAATTATAAGATACTCTAATTTGTCATTAAGTTCTTGTAAATTGTGCTTAATTTCTGTTTGAGTGAATGGGCCAAATTTTCCATATTATTAGCATATACTGAGTTTACAGAAGTGGTAACTGACCATCCTCCTATATGAGCAAATATACAGCTACTTCTTATGTACCTAACCCTGAATTGTACCCCACATCATTAAAATAAGAAAAAATGAAAAAGATTAAAAATAGAATCATTATGTTAGTTGTTAATATCTAAATCTGTGATATAATCAGAAACAGAATTAGGATTAAATATAAAGTGTAGACCATAATTATGTAAAAACAAGGGGACATATATAAAATACAGTCAAAGTTTGCTCTTTCACATTCTGTAAGGTAAATGACCTGGCTAAAAGTATACTAATCAGGTTGTTAGGCAACTAAATCCCTTGTGCATCTCCAAGGCAAGAATTTCAAATTATTTAACAGTTTAAGAGACTAATTAAGGACCAGTATGTTGCAAGAAAAAGAAAGGGGAACCAAATATCCATATGCCAGCCATCCTACATGTAAGTCACCCTCATTGATCTAATCACAGTACTAAGGCTAATATAAGACCAAGAAGAAACACCTGTCTCTGGGGTGATTACTTTGCCTTAAGATTCAGCAACAACTTGATTTAAACAACATTTGATTAGCTATGCCATCTTATAAAAATAAAAGTTCAATACACTGATTGACAAGTAGATATTTGGTATCATCAGGAACTAGAATTAGGCAATAAAAATGAAACTGTGATATTAATAAACAATTGAAATGAGCCAATATGATGTGAGCATATGGAAATTCATATATATGTATTTTAAAACATTAATATTTCAAAGAATTTTTTCTAGTAAAGAAATCTTTTTGATTTTTTCGTAAACTTCCCATTAAGAATGAAGTAAAAAAAATGAACATTCCTCTCATATATGTTGTAAACATCACTCCAAGCTTTTTTGAAATATCTTAAAATATATACCTTTATGCCTATAATAAAAATGATTTTATTAGCCGGGCTCGGTGGCTCAGCCTGTAATCCCGCGCCTTTGGGAGGCTGAGGTGAGTGGATTGGCTGAGCCCGCAGGTTCGAGACCCACCTGGGCAGCGAGACCTCATCTCTACAATAAATCAAAAAATTAGCCAGGTGTGGTAGTGCGCGCCTGTAATTCCAACTACTCGGAAGGCTGAGGCGGAAAGATTGCCGGAGCCCAGCAGGTCGAGGCTGCGGTGGCCGGGAGCGGTCACTGCACTCCAGTCTGGGCGACAGAGTGAGACTCCAACTCAAAAAAAAAAAAAAAAAAGATTTATTCACAAATCCTGTAATAATAATTTTGATACTTTGTGAATGGAAACATAATATAATATATCCACTATAGGAATTTGTTCCCTGAGACTTTCATTTGTTCTATCACCAGGTCAATTTCACTGTAGAACTTATACATTCTAATTCACTTGGCAATGTTTTTCAACGGTTCAGATGCTTCTTTAAGGAAGAAAATAAATTTGGGAACTACTTTATGTGATTTAACATAGTAAAGATTCTGAGAGGCTTTCTGTAGTAATGAAGTCTATTTAACTTTGTGAACCAAGCATTTCCCAAACTTTTATGATCCTTAAAAATCTAAGCCGGGCTCAGTGGCTCAGCCTGTAATCCCGCACCTTTGGGAGGCTGAGGTGAGTGGATTGCCTGAGCCCGCGGGTTCGAGACCCGCCTGGACA